AAGGAAAAACCCCATATACCTCACATCACTAAGTCCATGAGAAGAGCCCGGAAGAGACCCCAGACTCCCTCAAAGCACAGCTTTGGAAAGTCTGCGCTGAAACGCACAGCGTGCAGCAGAGTGAGGCCCTGGACGCGCAGGGCACCCGTTCCCATTTCCACTTGTGCGCTCTTCTAAAAATGTTTCTGCCCTTTGGCTTCCTCAGCTGCAGCACAATAAGGGCTGTAACATACACTGAGCCTGATGCATTAATCATTTTGCCTTTCGTATCTCATGCAATCATTGGGACACATAAAATAGATACCACTATTAATCCCATTTGATGATGAAAAGACAGAGGTTCAGAAAGGCTGAGTGAATTAGTGGCAGTCACTTGGCCCTGAGATGGTGAAACCAGGTGTCTCGAAGGAGCCTGGCCACTATTCTTTTAAGCCTCTTACTTCCTGTATTCTTGTGAGGCTCACATGACAATCCACCCCTACCCGCCGATCCCCACTCATCCTCCACTAATCTGGCCTGAAACCCTTTGCACACCCTGCCAAGCACCAGCCCAACCACACGCAACTCAACAACTCCCCCTTGCACAGGCCACACGCTCTCAGGCTTCCACAACAGTGTCCCTACACCCAGCGCACTCCTCCTTGGGTCTCAGCCTGACAGTGCCTCTCTCAAGTCTTCTCTGATCCCCCCAGTAAACTTAGTTACTGCTTCCCTAGTGCTCCTGGAGCATCTGATAGCTCTCACCATGGCATTGATGACACCACATCCTAATTAGGAGTAGCGGTTTGTTTTTTCCAAGCATCCTGTGAGTTTCTCAAGGGCAGGCACTGAATCTTTATCAACTTTGTATTCCTAGGAAGGAAAAAAATGGAAGGAAGAGAAAAAGGAAGGCAGGAAGGGAGGAGAGAGGGAGGAAAGGTGGACAGATGCAAGTGACTGCTGCATAGAACATATTACACGGCATCATCTGAAACTGCCAATATTCTGCGCCTTCTTGTCTATAAAATGGTAAATTATATTTTACTTACTGTAATGAGGGTGGGTTTCCCCACTAGCCAGACCCACCCAAATACCCCCACTCACTCTCTGTTAGTCCCTATCTTTTGTTTTGGGACAATGTACATGTGTCTTGACCACATAAAATGGTTAGGATGGGGGCTTACTAAAGTGGGCACCCTATGGGGTAGTTATTGGGCAGTGTACAGACAGAAATTGATGGGGGCTTTCTGTACCTCTTCTCATTGAGACCACCTCGAGAGGTCCATCTCTGAGTCCCCTCTGAGCAGGGAGGTGTAGGCTGACTCAGTGATGACGTGGAGTCTGCAGGTGGGGGCCCAGCCACGCCAGCACCAGCCACCATCGGAGCTTGACTGCCTCTCCAGGAAGACCTCCCTTGCCTCCCACAGCACCCCAAGTCTGATCCTCTTGTCTTGGGTTCTGACCTCCTTCAAGGCCTGGTCCCTATCTCTTCTTTCCCCTTCTCTAGCCCAAGGGACCCTCATTGCTGGAGGGTGAGGGACATTGAGAATTTGGTAACATTAAGAATTCCCACCGGGCGCGGTGGCTCAAGCCTGTAATCCCAGCACTTTGGGAGGCCGAGGTGTGTGGATCACGAGGTCAAGAGATCGAGACCATCCTGGTCAACATGGTGAAACCCTGTCTCTACAAAAAATACAAAACATTAGCTGGGCATGGTGGCACCTGCCTGTAATCCCAGCTACTCAGGAGGCTGAGGCAGGAGAATTGCCTGAACCCAGGAGGCGGAGGTTACGGTGAGCCGAGATCGCGCCATTGCACTCCAGCCTGGGTAACAAGAGTGAAACTCAGTCTCAAAAAAAAAAAAAATTGCCCACAGCTCTTCCTGCCTCGTCACTGGAGGATGAAAGAAAAGGGCCTCTTCTACCATCTTTTTAATTTTGGTTATGACTTAAAGTCTTTGCTCCACCCAGTCCTGGCCTGCTGTTTGGATCCTCTGAGTTCGGAAGTTAAAGAGAAAAAAGGGCCTTTTCCTACTTCTCTGAGTCCTCACTAGATCCTAAAGGAAACATAAGGGTTGCAGGGAGGACACAGACAAACTTTTCAGGAATTGCTTCACCTCAGGCCCACGTGACTATCTTGGTCAAAAAGGCCTTTGAAGTGCTCCTAAAACCATCCATGAGATTCAGCATGCACACTGCCTGGAGTGCTGGCATTCACGACCATCCCTTCAAACCCTCAGTCTGGTTGCATTTCTGGAGAGCTGGCACTTTAGAGGTTGGCCTCTCCCCGCATGCTGCCTCCAAGCCCTCTCCTCTTCCCCTCGATTTTTAAATTGTTAAATGTATATTTGCTGGCAATTAGCTCTGCAGGGTCTGGCTGAGGCAACTGTCTATTAAAATCCAAGAAAATGACACATCCTGGGGACTGAGCATCAACGGCACCCAGGGCAGGGCAGGGTGGTGGTGGTGGTTTGCTAACTTCATCAGGGGCAGGGGCATACACGGGTGGCATCTGACAAAGGAGGGAAATGTCTCCTCTGGGGTTTGGCTAGGACTGCTCAGAGCCTCCTCCTCATCCCCAGGGGTGGGAAGGAGTCCCATCTCCTGTCTCTCCTCTTCCCTTGTCCCCAGGCCTGAGGCTTCATCTCTGTTTTTCTCTTCTCTGAAGTCCCCAGCCTGGCCTCTTGCCGGCCTCTGTCCAGTGTCCCCTCTCCTGTTTGTTTGTGTTTTGAGATGGAGTCTTACTCTGTCGCCCAGGCTGGAGTGCAGCGGCGCGATCTCGGCTCACTGTAGCCTCTACCTCCTGGGTTCCAGCAATTCTCCTGCCTCAGCTTCCTGTGTAGCTGGAATTACAAGCACATGCCACCATGCCTGGCTAATTTTTGTATTTTTAGTAGACAGGGTTTTGCCATGTTGGCCAGGCTGGTCTCGAACTCCTGACCTCAGGTGATTCGCCCACCTCGGCCTCCCAAAATGCTGGGATTACACGCTTGAGCCACCATGCCCAGCCCCTGTCTCCTATTTTATGCCACCTTTCTGTCTGTGTTTCTCGACTTCCCTGCCACTAGCACCTTTTTGGGAGGTGGGACCTTTGATGAGGCCATAGGCCATGTGGTCTCAGGGAGAGGTAGCCAGGACTTTAACTGACTGTCCCCACGACCCAGAAGAAGTCACCACCCACTCTGCACCTCTGGTTGAACAAAGAAGTCGGGACAAGTTATTTTTCAACATCTCTATTGAGGTATTTATTATTATTAATGTATAATAATCTGCACATATTCAAACTATGTAATTTGATTAGTCCGACAAATGTATTAGCACACACCCAGGGAAGCATCACTACCATCAAGACCATGAGTATGCCAGGCGCAGTGATCCCAACACTTTGGGATTGTAATCCCAACACTTTGGGAGGCCTGTAATCCCAACACTTTGGGAGGCCGAGGCTGACAGACTGCTTGAGCGAAGGAGTTCCAGACCAGCCTAGGCAACATGGTGAAACTGTCTACAAATATACAAAAATTAGTCAGGCGTGGTGGTACGGTGTGCACCTGTGGTCCCAGCTACTCAGGAGGCCAAGGTGGGAGGATCCCTTGAGCCCGGGGAGCTTTGAGGCTGCAGTGAGCCATGATCGCACCAGTGTACGATCATGGCTGGGCGACAGAGCAAGGCCTTGTCTCAAAAAAAAAAAAAAAAAAAAAGAATACATAGAATAAATATACCCACCACCTCAAAATGTTTCTCATGCCTCCTACCCCTCCCAGATCCATCCCCTTGCCAGGCAACCACTGATCTGCCTTCTGACACTACAGTTTACGTTTCTAGAACTCGTGTATTGGTGGAATTGCACAGCATGTCTCTTTTTGGTCTGGCTTCTTTCACTGAGCATAATTAATTTTGGGGATTCATCCATATTGTATCATTTATCAATAGCTCATTCCTTCTTGTTGCTAAATAGAATTCCACCATATGATATACCACAGATTCCTAATCCATTCCCCTGTTGATGGACACTTATGGGGTTTCCAGTTTTGGCCTGTGACAAAGCTGCCGGGGTCCTTCGTGCGCATATAGACACGTGAAGCTGACAACTTCTTAGGGGGCTGTGCTCACTTCTTAGGGGGCTGTGTTCAGCACTTGGTAGCTGCTGAGCTGCCAAGACCAGATTCATCTTTTTTCTTCCCTGTAATTCAGTGGAGGATGAAACCAGCAGCAGCATGCTTGACTTTGAACCCTGCCCACCACGTGTGGTGCGACCTTTGTGTGCCTCTTGGTGTCCTGGTTTTATGTTCCTACCTCCCTGGGTTGTGTGAGCATTCCATGACTGTATGGATCAGAAGCATTTAGTGCAATGCCCAGCGCGAGGTTCAGAAATAGTAGCGGTTTCTTATTTTGCAGGCACCTCTGAGAAGATCTACACAATCCAAAACGGGCTTCCTCTAGGATCTCGGAGCAGCTACCCTAACCCTCTGAAGTGGCTCCATTTCACAGACGAGTAACTGGGTCCCAAAGCCAAGAGTGACTTGAGTAGGGCTGATCTCTGATTTGGGAGTGAATGCAGACGTGTCCTGATACCCAACTATTTCCTAGTTGGGTGATAAGCAGAGAGGAAGTTGGAATTTTCCAATTATTTCTCAGTGTCTCCTGGAGAACCCCTAGAAGTAGCTCAGCACAGCCAACCAGAAAAGACTATGAGACCCCCAAAGGGTCATACAAAACCACACTCATTTAGTGAGTTCGCAGGGCTCAGCAACCTGGAAACCCCGCAAAATCGCGGTCAAACCAGGGGGATGAAGAGATAGGGGTAGAGAGGATGTCTACCCCATCCCCCCACCCCACAGTGCTCCAAGTAGCCCAAAAGGGGGCTTCTGTGTGTCCTGGGCAAGCAGGTCGATCTCTGGAAGGCATTTATGCCCTCTGGCATCTTTACAAACCAGGCCTCTGAACTGTGGCTCTGCCCCTTATTAACTGTCAGGGTAAGCCGGGCTTGTCATGGCAACACACAACTTGTAAGTTCAGTAATTTAACACAGTAAAAGTTTATTTCTCATTTACACTCTATGAACAACATAGGTGCGAGGGTGCCAGAGTCCTAAGGCTTCCGCTAGAGATGACGCCCATCAGTTCCGCCACGTTTTATTGGTTAAAGTGGGTCACATGTCCACAGCTAGCATCAAAGAAGAGTGAGGACATGCAATCCTACCTTGTGCCAGAAGGCAGAGAGCCGGAAATATTTGGAGACAGCACTAATGACCACTACACTAGCCAAGTGACCTTTGAGCTCATTTCCTCCTCTGCAAAATGGGGACGAGAACAGTATTTGCCTCATAGATTGTTGTGAGGATTAAAAGAGAAAAGTTATGTAACACCCCTGGCACAGCGTGGCACACGGGTGAGGTTGAGGCCCGGGGTATTTGTGTACAATGAAGACCCAGCATGCCAAGCCTCCCTCCTCCCCTGTAAACACTGACCCTGGATCCCGAGGCTGCGTCGCTGAGTGGTGAGCAGAGGATGGGTAATTTTCCGCAAATCTGTCTTCTCTCACCCTAGGATCTGACAGTGACCACCTAGGTCAGGCAAACTTCATTGCCATAAAATGTCCCCCCACCCCCAGCCTAATTCACAATCATCTGAGACTTCCTATCCCTCACGTGACTGCTTTATGACAAATCTGCCCTTCTGTCCAGTTAGAGGATAGGAGTCCACTAAAGAAGGGTTACAGAATCCGAGGTAAATTGTGAAGGAAATTAACATCTATTTTTTGCTGAGCACTATGCTGGATGCTTGACCCACGTTACCTCATTTAAACCTCATAATAGTCCTGTAATAAAGTGAGTGCGATGATCCTCATTTTGAGGTGTGGGAGCTGTTGCTTGGAGTAGTTACATACCAGCCCAGGGTTACATAGCTAGTCAGTGGCAGAGCTAGGATTTGAACACAAACTCTGTGACTCAGAAGACCACATCTTAGCTTCTGGGCTGTCTTTTCCTATTTCATTCAGACTTTTTTCTTTTTTTTTTTTTTCTTTTCTTTTTTTGAGACAGAGTCTTGCTCTGCCCCCAGGCTGGAGTACAGTGGCATGATCTCAGCTCACTGAAATCTCCACCTCCCAGACTCAAGCGACCATCGTGCCTCATCCTCCCCGGTACCTGGGATTACAGGCATGTGCCACCACATCTGGCGAATTTTTGTATTTTTCAGTAGAGATGACGTTTTGCCACGTTGGCCAGGTTGGTCTTGAACTCCTGGCCTCAACTGATCCACCCACCTCAGCCTCCCGAAGTGCTGAGATTACAGGCGTGAGCCTCTGTGCCTGGTCCAGACTAATTTTTATCCAGGCCATAAACTCACCAACAGCCCAATCACAGATGTCTAGCCTTTGGGTTCTATTGTGTTGTTGTGGAAACTGTCCTGCTTCTGAAGCACAGGGACCAGGCTTTTAGTCACTGCTCACTCCCTACCTTACTGTGCCACTTTGGACAAGTCCTTTTACCTTTCTGAGCCTCAGTTTCTTCACTGAAAATAAAGGGGCTGGACTAACTTTCTTAGGTTCTTTCCATATCTAGGATTTGGTAACATTGAGAATTCCCCACGTCTCTTCCTGCCTTTGGCCCTAATCCTGTATTAGAAAGCATCACAAAGTAGAAAAGTAGATAAAGATCCCACATTTGAAGTTACACAGAGCATTAATTAGACTCTCATTATTATTTGAAACTAAAAATAGTTTGTTTGAAGATTGATGGTGCGTTTGTAATCCATAGCAGTTTTCTCCCGTCCTTGCTATTTATAACAAACTCTGGTTTCCTCTGTAACTAAGTCTGTCTCCTCTTATAAAAGAGGAAGTCAGGCTGAGCCTGCTCCTCAGCTAAGATCCCCTGAGTCTGCACCCCAGGAGAGCCTCTCTGGAGTTCTGAGCTCCTGTTGCTGGGCGGAACTGGGCTCAGTCTCCAGGTGGGCATTGGAAGTGGCTGGACTATATGCCAGCAGGATGGGCTATGCCCGTTCTCCCATGGAACCATGCATAGCTGCTGGGGTGTGGCTCGGTGTTAGGGCTGGAGGTCCAGAACGCTGTATCTTCCACTCCTAGAACTTTTGCTTAATGCTCCGAGAGTTTCTGCAAATGCCAAATGCCCAGTGCTAACCTTGAAGAAGACAAAAGGAAACAGGGCTCAAATTCAGGCCACTTTGGGAGATATTTTCAGGGTCTGTAAGTATCTCTTAGGTTTTTAATTTGTTCCGATACGGAGGTTGTTGAGAGCTGGGTGTCCTGGGAGATCTGGGCATCCCAGATGGCTGCCCCATGTTGCTGCTGCCGGAGTATTTTAACTACAGTAGCGTGGGAGCTTCCTGCCTCAGAGAGGGCTCCCCACACCTCCCCCAGGTTTCCATCTGCCCAGACGCCCACAGCTCCTGTCAAGAGAAATGATGGAAGCCCCAAGATGCCTGTGGGGAGGGCCTCAGCTCAGGACAATAGCCGGGCTCAAACCCTAGTCCAATCAGCAGACTCTCAGGGCCAGCTCATCGTGGGGTGTGTGTGTCTGTTTCTGTGAGGCAGTGAGGAACGCATTGGGGGTGGGGGAGACACGCACATGGGCCACGAATCCTTAGAAACTTTGGGTTTTGGGAAGGAGAGAAGAAAGAAGAAAAGCTGGAAGGGGATAGAGGTGGTGGGAGACAGGGGGATGGGCAAGAAACAAAGAGAAGACGCAGTGGCTGTGCTGAAGCTGGACAGTGACTGAAAAGGGCAATGCTTGTCCTAGACTTCCTCTGACCCATCTAACCTAAATCTTCCCATGCTGTGGTTTAAGCCTCTTTCCCACCTTGGCCCCCATCTGGCCTCTGAGTAGCAGAGCCCAGGAGTCAGGTCTGGACGTTGGCTGCCCTGGTGGCCCAGAAGGGAGCTACTTCCGAATAGCCAAAGTCCTGAGGCGTTTCCTGCCCATGTGCCTCCCTGCTTCCCCTGACTCGACACCCAGTGGCCCGGAGGGTTGCAGAGGGGGCGGGCAGCGGCTCTGGAAGCATTTCCCAGCAGTAGAACTGTGAGTCAGAGGGTCGCCCATGGTTGGAAGTCAGAGGGGATCTCCTGCAGGCAGGAAACCAGAGTTGGGTCCCAGAAAGGTCCAGAGATGAGTTGGCGGGAAAGTAGCTCTTCAGAATGCTACCATCTGGGAGGGTTGAACCTGGAGCCCACTGGGCCTGCAGGAAAAGCCTGAGCCAGCCCAGCTCCCTTCTGCCTGGGCAGTTACTTGGAGGTCATCTGGGAAGTCTGGAAGCAGATATACAAGTTCAAATCCAGACTCTGTTGCTTATATGCTGGAACTCATATATGTGAGGCTCAGTTTCCCCATCTGCAAAATTTAAAAAGAATAAAAAGGCTCAGCTCACAAGGTTACAGGGATAAAAGGAGAATATGTGCATCAAGTAACTTGTGTAGGTGGTCCACACGTGTTAGCCTCCTCGTCACGTCTTATTTTGGTTGGAAGATGGGGAGGAATTGTCCAGGATCTGACTGTAACATTCTGCTAGCCTCTTGCTCCAGGAGAGGTGATCCCCTGGCCCCAGGGAGGGCTTCCTCTACATTCAAATGCTAATAAATGGTAATGAAAGGTCCAGGATCCCGCTGAGACCTCCTCTCCAGCCCCCACCCAGGGAGCACTGCTGGTGGTGCTCCTCCCATTTGCTATCAGGATGAAAAGGATACGCTGATCGGCTCTTGAAATGTGCCACCGAAATTATCTTGGGTTTTGATTTGACCTTAATAGGTCCAGCCAAACAGGGATCCGAGCTACTGGATGGAGCAGTGTGGGGTAGGGGGAGGAGTGAAGGAGGGAAGGGAGGAAGAGGGCAGCAACAGATGCATCCTCAGACCCCACTTCACACCCTTGCCAAAATCTCTGACAGGGTTTCATCATCTGGGGGTGATGTAAGAGGCTTGGAGTCAGGCTCCCCTTCCTCCCCTCCCCCAGAGATCCCCGTCCACATCTGGAGCTGCAGCTGGGCTCTCCTCTTGGGCCCTTTCCAGGGGAGGGAGCTGGGTGAAGTGAGGGCAGCTGGTGAGGGGCCCTGTGAATGGCTGCAATGTTGGGAGGCAGGGGGCAGGGAAGAGGCATCTGGGCTCGGAGGAAGGTGGACTGGGAAGGGAACTGTGGCTCTGCAGCACTGGTCTCCTCCACCCAGGCCCAGTGCTGAAGTCTCCATGGTCCTCCTTGTCCTTTATACCCATTCCTGCAGGCAGCTGCCCTCCGTCTTCCCTTCCCCACCCACTTCACCGCCCAGCCTCTCTACCCAGGTGCTTGGAACTGAGTGCCCCCTTTGTTCCCTCCTCTCCCCCAGGGCAGCTCAGGCCTCCCACACTGACCCTCCGGCCCCACTGCCACAACAAGCAGAGTGTGAGCTGGGCCCAGTGGGGTCATCTGTGGGTCATAAAGGTCAATGGGACAGTCGTCTAGCAGTAGGGAGGGGCTAGTCTTGTGCCAGGAGCCTGGCCAGGAATCAACTAAAACACGAGCTTTAAAATGCTGCAGGGTGGAGGTGGGGGGAATTTTAGTTAGGGGCTAGCAAGAACTCCCTTCAAGAAGGGTTGGCACATTTACTGGAATAAATGCAGAAGGGAAGATTTCCTGGCTCTTTCCAACTATAAACCGTCAGTCGCTGTGGGATGCCGGGGAGACCAGGGTTCTTACCATGCTTCCCCACGAACTCGCTCTGCGACCTTGGGTAGTTCCCCTCTTTCTGAGTCTCGGCTTCCTCATTTATGAAATGAGAGTCCCATTGAAGTCGAGGTTCTGCTACTCCAGGAGCTTAGGTCCTAACGTGGACCGCGTCCCGCGCCCCCACCCCCATCCTCCAATCCCGCCCCCTACCCCCCAGCCACCCGTGGCCGCGAGCCAAGAGGTCCCTTTAAAGGCGCGAGTCCCGCCCCCGCTGCCCATTCGGGCCTTCGATTGGCGGCCCCCGGGCGGGGCGGGGCCCGACGCGGGCTCGGGGCGGGCTCGGGGCCGGGTCGGCCCCCGCCCCCTTTGTTCGCGCTGCGGCGGGAGGTGGCGGCCGGGTGGGAGGTGTGTGCGCGTGTGCCGCGCCGTAGGGAGCGGCGGGTCGCGCCGCCGGCTGTCAGCTAGCTCCGCGCCGCCGCCCGATGGCGCGAGGAGGCGCGCGGGCCCAGCCCCGGGAGGCCGGCCGCGGGTGAGCCCCCCGGCCTGCCGCCCGCGAGCATGTCACCTCCAGCCGCCGCCGCAGCCGCCGCCAGCCGCGCCCCCGCCTCCCGCAGCCGCAGCCGCTGCCTCGGGCATTGGCCCCCAGACCCCCGCCTCTGATCCACGCCCAGACCCTAGCGCCGGAGGGCCATGGCCGGCCAGGGGGACTGCTGCGTCAAGGTGGCCGTCAGGTAGGGACCCGCGGCGGGGGAGAGGGCGCGCGGAGGGGGCTCGGGCTTTGTCTCGCGTGGGCTCTGGGCGGGGGGCGCGGGCACCGATCGGGCTGAAGCCCGCACTCCCGGAGGAGGGGCCGGCGTGGGACCGGCTGCAGGGCGCCGCGCGCTGGCCGGGCTGCCGCAGGGGAGCGGCGACCCTGCGGAATACTGGAAGGTGGCTTTGTTTGGGTGGTGATTTGGGGCCCTTCTTGGGAGCCCTTAATGATCAGAAAATCGAATAAACAAGGAAATCCGGTATTTCACACCCAGCCCTGGCCCAGGCCGGAGCGTCTGTGCGTTTCCTCTTCGCCTCCCCACGAGGCTGCTGTCTCATATGGGGATACCAGAGGGAGGAAATTTCCCCCTCATCCACGCGAGTCAGCTAGTTCTGTGCTCTTGGTCCAGTTAGCAAAGGCAGCACGCCCGCCCTGGGAGCCAGATCTGCAGACAAAGATCGGGAGCGGGGACCAACGGAAAAGCTGGGATGATGCCTTGGCCTTCTGTGGGAAGTCGCTGGCTTTCAGGGAGAATCCTGCCAGTCCTGTCCCAAGAGGAGATGGGGCTGGGAAGGGAGAAGAGGTGTACCTGAGACGCTACCCTCTGAGAGGGCAGGAGGGTGTGATGCCGACGCCCATCCTCAGGCGTTCAGATAAAATTGAGCAGGGGAGGGTTGCCTAGGCTTATCTGGGGTTCCATTCTCAACAGCTCCGGGACTTGAGCAGGCAGAAATGAGACAGGGAGAGGACATGGCTGGGTGGGTTCTATTGAGAGGGGTACACAAAGGTGCAGGGGCAGGAAATGCTGTGAAACTGAGCCATCTGTGTTCTTTGTGCTGGGTGGAGACGATTTACATCTCACCACCTCTCCCAGTTTTTGCTTTGGGTTTTTCTCTTTGAGAGGGGTGTATTGGGGGCAGAGTGCCAACCTGGGGCTGCTCATCAAGGTAGGGATGTGGAAAGAAATCTGTCTCTCCCTCAGCTCTGTATGATGGGGGCAGAGGGGATTGTCCAGGTCTAGGGTAGGTCTCTCGGGTCTCTAGATCCCTTGGGTCATATGTGACCCAGATTCCAGGGGTCCTGGGAGGTTGCTCCTAGACAGAGTCAGAGATGGCAATGAAAAAGCTTTTCTCTTCCTGCCCCAGGGCAGATGCCCCTCGCCCTGGCCGCCTGGCCAGCCCTCTGCAGCCCAAAGAGGAGTTGACACTGATCAGTGCTGGGGTTGAGGGAAGGAGATTGAGGCACCCCCACCCATACACCCCAGGCAGCACTCAAGAACCACTTGAGCACAGCTTTCCTGGCCCTAAGCAGCTAGAGAGACAAAGAGAAGCCCCGCAGGTGCCTGGTGGCTGGCTGGGGCGGGGCCAAGCTGCTGCTGGGGCTGACATTGCAGCAGGATCTTGTGGAGGTCGAGGGAGGGGGTGCATGGCTGGGGGGTGGGAGTGAGAAATGTAAATATGGCATCTGCAGCAGATTGAGAGAGTCCGAGAACACCATAAAAGGGAAATGAAGCTCTGGCCCCCACCCATTGTGAACAAGGGCTGGGAAGGAAGGGGCTTGGGTGCCCTTTCCACAGGGGGCTTTCCTTTAGACTCCATCTTGCTGGAGAGAGCTAAACAAAGGTCCCCTACCTCTGTTCAGGGTCCCCAGGCTGGACTGGGGCTGAAAAGATGTGGGGTTCCCACCCGGGGAGCCTCATGGAATTGGCACAGTGAGAAGAAGCTGGTGTTCTCTTCCCACTGCTGCCACCAGAAGCTTCCCGGGACCCTTTACACAGAGAAGGGATCATGCCAGCCCTCCGCACCCAGTTCAGGGGGATGTGTGTCATCTCTGGTTCCCAGTCAGATTGCCCTAAGTGGGGTCTGGGTGCCCCACACCTTGCCTTTGAGTTGCTGATGTGGCTAGGGGGTAGGGGATTGAGCATCAGAAATCAGGCTTTCAGGGTCTCCGGGAAGATGAGGGCCCCGCCCACTCCTCCTCTCCCACCCCAGCATGAGTGCCCAGCCCCGGCACACGCCAGACCTCAATGGGCAGCCGGCCGTGGAAGGCAGACAATGCCTGGACAGAACCCAGTTTCTAATCAGAGAGCTTAGGACTGGGCTGGGGCTGGGCTGGACTGGGAAGGAGAGCAGATGGTGCCAGTGACGGGCTGTAGGGGGAGTTCTCCTTGCTTTTAGATCCTCTTCTACCCCTCCTCCCCTGTAGCACTCCCAGAAATCTCTTCTCTCACCTGAAAGACTGGGTGGTGGGCTGCACTGGGGTAGAGCATTTATGGGACAGGCAAGGCTTGTCCAGGGTCTGGTCCAGCCCCAGGGCTTACTACCTCCTGCCAGGTTCAGCTGTCTTCTTGACTCTCTGGAAGTCCTTTCTTGTATCCAACTGAAGTGTTTTCTGAATTTCCATGAGAATAGCTTGTAGTGAACCTGGACTCCAGCTCTTCAGACAAGGAGGGCCAGGAAGTGGTCTGGGGTGTGTGTGTGTGTGTGTGTGTGTGTGTGTGTGTGTGTGTGTATAGAGGAGAGAGGCCCCAAGGCTATTAGATTAGGTGAGAAGTGCCAGGCCCAGGGCCCTCGTTCCTACAATCTGCTTGGGATGAGGAGGTGGAAGCTGGCTGGCTGTGGAGTGCTTCAGTGAAGGCCTGGGCTCCTGGAGAGCCAGAAGAGGAAACTTTCAGGATCTGGGGCTCAGGGTAGGGGAAGAAGGTCCAGGGGGTGAGCAGACCCCCAAAGCCCCACCTTGTGGCCTCCCCAGCTGGATGGAGTCTGGCCCATCTGTCCCTGAACCCAGGCTAGTCGGCTTTGCACTAAGGGATTCCCAGGCCAGCCTCTCCAGCCTGCCCTGTGATCCCTTCATCCACTAATCCCCTTGTACTGTAAAGTTGTCAGCTTCCTGAGCTAGACTAGAACTGGCCGTTACCTGGGGGAGGAGGTGTGCAGAAAGGCAAGTGAGAGGTGGAGCAACGCGGTGACCTGCCCCAGGCTGCAGAAATACAAGGCCGACAAACTGGGGGAGAAGGGATAGCTCTTAAGAAATGCGAGTCGGCAAAGCTGAAATTGGGGAAGGAAGCCAACTCACATGGCGAGTTTGTTCGAGACCCTTTCAAGTCCCCAGCTCAGAGCCCCCACCGTGAGGGGAGCCCTCCGTGTTGCCGAGCCCCCTCCCCTCTTATCTCCGCCTGGCCTCTCTAAGCTTCCTTCCTTTAGTTTGCTTGGTGGTGCCTTGGCCGGGCCGGCATCCATCTGCTGAGACTGCAGGGTTAAGTAGGGGATAGGGAGGGGCTCGGGGGATCCAAGGAACAGTGTTTGATTGCACCCCTGCCCGCTCCCATTTGGGTTCTCTAGCTGCAGTTGTTTCCCTAGTTCTAGGCTACTGTGAAATCTTGGTGGATGACTGTCTGAATTTTGAACCAAGAACAGTGGTGGCTTGAGAGAGAAAGACTGAAACTGACAGAAGAAACTGGGGGGGGTGGGTATTTGGGGTACCTTCCGAGTCCCAAAGCCAGTCAGTGCCAAGCAATGCCACCTGTGTCCAGTTTACAGCTCTGGGGAACTGAGGTCCATACAGGGCCTCCTGGGGGCTGTGTGGAGACCTGAGAATCTTAGTGGTGGCCTCCTGCTGCAGAAATAGGGTTTATGTCATCACAAGGAAGTGCAGTGTAGTAACCACAGGCCCCGGAAACCTCCCCCTCCACCACCCGGCCTGCATGCCTGATTGGATCTCAGCTTTTGAAAACCTCCAAGTGGAGGTGGGGTGGGGCCCAGGCCCGGACCAGGGAGGTGGCAGAGGTGATACATGCCTGGCATGCTTATTTTTACAGCCCTGGGGGCAGAAGGATCTGATGCAGTTCATCCACTGGCTACCTCATGGGGCACCTTCCCTGTTTGTCTTTCTGGGCCTCAGTTTTACCCACTGGAAAATGGGAACAGCTGCTTTGTTCTGGTTTGTTCATTTGTGGAGAGCAGCAGCTTGGAGGAAGACGAAGGCATGAAAATGTTTGGAGGGAACAAAATGAAGGATAGATTCCTGAGGAGCTGAATATAAATCAAGTGTTCTTTAAAATAGGTCCCAATATAAGTGTACCTAAGAGATGTCTTTGTAGTTTAAGCTTTAATGAACTATTTAGTAAATTGAATTCACCTCCGATCTGTTGATTAGTCTATTAATTTAAAGCAGAATGCACAGCGTGATGAAAGGAGCATGAACCAGGATGTGGCTAAGCACTAGAATGTCCCAAACACTCTGTGCCTGCAGCAGCTCATTCAATTGGTCAGGTGACTGCTGCTCTTCCCATCGTGTAGATGCACGAGCACAGGCAGTACATGGAGGAGGCTGGACCGGAACCCAGGGGATTCTCAGTTGCCAGCACATGCTCTTCATGCCACTCTAAGCTGCCTTCTACTTCAGCTGCTGATTAGCTGTGTGCTTGGAGTCTCTATGCCTCCGTTTCTTCAAATGCTTGACTAACACAGTGGCCATGAAATTGAACGTGGGAAAGTGAAGGTGGGAAGGGACATGGTGCTGTGCAGATGTGTGGCAAGGCTGAGACTGTCCAGGGTCTCCCGTATGGGATTGCCTAGCAGCATGGGGCTGCCTGGCACCACCGCGGTCCTAGCTCCTAAATCCATGCCGTTATCATTTGTGTTAGAGGAGCTTCCCCTCCACGTTCTCCCTTTCTTAGATCGCTGCAGCCATCCCTGGCAGTCGTCTTCCTGCCTGGATTCCACCGTGGCACTCTCTCAGGAAGGATGTCCTGGGGGCAGCCAAGTCTTTTGCTGGCCCCCCACCTCACACACACCAAAGGGCAGACCCCCACATGTGCTGGCTCTCCTAACATTTCATTTCACCCTCTAGAAAGTGTTGAGAACATCGAGGAGGAAAGCAGTGTCTTCTGTGCCCCTCCCATTAGAACAGCCAGAGGGGCACTGAGAGGGCCCTGGGCTGGGTGGGGATTGGAGGTTACTTCCCTGCCACGAGGGAAGC